TGGATAGAGAGGGATTTTGAAAGAAATCCATGAGCGGACGCAGAAAACTTGTACAAAGGAGCGACGCCGTGAGATGAGTTTAATGGATGTGATCGTCCGCCAAAGTTGAACAGTGGTGGGATTTGCAGTTGATGTATGCAAGATTGAGTAAGTTTTTTCATGAGAAGTGCCTCGCTCGCCTTTTCTGCCTAACTTTTCTGCGACTGTGAGATGTTTTTTTGTGACGTTTGCAAGTTATTAATGCTGAGATACGGCGCCTGGAGACGGTGTCTAGTGGGGGGTGGTGGGTAGTCGTGGGGTAGGTCTATCTTTCACAAAGTTTGGAAGTTGATGAAAAGAAGCAATTAGTGGTTGGATAAAAGGAATAAGGAGCCAGTACAAGCGAGAGTTGAGTGATTGTGTGAAAATGACCAGAAAATCTGAGAAAAAAAAATATTTGGGCAATTTTTGGATAATTGGTGTTGCCTATAAGTTGCAGCCATGACAGTGCAAAGTGATCAGTTTGCTTGTGAGGGTTGGTGAGTTAGGAGCTTGGTGGTGGATGCCAGGACTCTGCCTGTCTTGCAAGATGAACAGTGTTTCTACAGCAACCCTACCTGGACTTACATGTGTTTAGATCACATGAGAGAAACTTCATGGTAGATATTTTGGGAATTGAATTATTCTGTTTTAAGAGGATTTTGAAGAAGTGGACTTGGATGAAATTTGTGATGTGGTTGGAAAGATTTGAAAAGGCAGTGTGTGCATGTGCAGTGGCAGTGGTTTTAAGAATTTGATTAGATATCAGATGTGCTTTAGGATTCTTGAGATGTAATAGACAGTAGTTTGTGACAGTGTTGAAGTAGTTGACTAGCTGTAACATGAAGCTTTGTGAAAGTGTATATCCACATAATATAATTACCTAAATTTAAAGTGAGCTTGTGGAAGTTTGTCATTTCATTAAAGTAATTGAATATGCCAGGGTAATATAATGCCAGTTTTGGTTCAATAAGAAGCAGTTACAGTGAATTAACACTTGTTTGTTAGTTGCATGATTTTCAATGGATTTAGTTCCTTGCAGTAGAGAAGCTTTTATAAATGACTTAGTTTATTAAATCAAGGTCTCTAGCGTGCATACTCGTCTTGTATTTTTTGACATGGACAAGCTTAAATTATAAGTGAATGAAGATTTTAAGTGAAAATCATATGTGGGTAAAGGGTGAAAATATATATTCGGTAATGAAAATAGACTTAGCTGTTTTTTAATTTCATGTTCATTTATTTCGTGTTTCAGATAGTATACAAGGTGGAGGGGGGCGAGGATGGGGGCAGATCAGCAGTTTTGCCTCCGATGGAACAATTTTCACACTAATATTACCTCAGCATTCGAGTCCTTGAGAGATGACGAGGACTTCGTCGACATCACACTTGCCTGTGAAGGCAGGCAGATAAAAGCACACAAAATGGTCCTTAGTGCCTGTAGTCCATACTTCAGAAGTTTGCTAAAAGTAAGTATGTTAGTTCTTTCACTTGTGTGTTCAGTTTTGTAAAGCTTCATATATGTCAGTCATCCATCACATTTGACTATCCTTTAACACTTGATTGTATCCTATCCCAATAGGGTAACCCCTGCCAGCATCCCATAGTGTTTCTTAAGGATGTAACTTTCGCCAACTTGACTTCCATCCTGGACTTCATGTACCATGGGGAAGTCAATGTTTCACACAATGAGTTGGCCACATTTCTAAAGACAGCAGAGGCGCTTAAAGTCAGAGGACTGGCGGAAGATGAAAAGAAGAGAGTAAGTTTTGATTTTTATATTTTTGTTTTTAATTTTATCATTTACTTTTTATACTGACTTAAGATTTCTTGGTTATTAACTTGCATTGGCACGGGTTGTGGATTTGGTATTTACAATGGTCAAGCCTTTAACAACCAACTGTAATTTTGTGCATTACAAAATACCATTATATATGAATCAGACTCATAATTTTTAGAATTTGTATGAGGAATGTTCATATTAGTCAAACTGAGAAAGTGTTGACAGCTATTTATGATGTCTGTTGATAAAAAATACAGAAGTGGTTTTTAATTATGTATAATTTCTATTTGGTTAATGGGCAAAGATCTATTATAGTATGGATTGCAACAATTTGAATGAAAACCTGATAAAGTTAAGGATTTATGCATTCACATGGTTAGGATATGCTCAAGTTTAGTCAGTTAAACTTTGTCTTATCCAATATATAATATATATATATATATATATAATATATATATATATATATATATATATATATATATATATATATATATATATATATATATATATATATATATATATATATATATATGCGTGTGTGTAAATTTATTGGAACCACTATTTATGCTTCCTCTTTTTTTCCTTTTTCATCTCTCCTCTCTAGGACAGTGAAAACTACAATGAGTCCAGCTCGCCTCCCCCACCTAGAGACCCCCCTGACCCGGGCTCACCTCGGCCCGAGGAGGGCAGTAGTGCCCCCGACACACAACTCAGTGATTCACCCCCACCCAAACGACAGAGACGGCGGTCAGGGGCCTCGGTACACTCTGCAGAAGACACAAATGAAACGGTGCTAAGTGAAGCCAGGGACAGTAGTGTGAAAAATGAGCCTCAGGACTTTAATGAGGAAGAGGACATGTTAAGTCAGAGTGTGGAGCATGAAAATATAAAGACAGATGTAGGAGAAGACAGTGAGGAGCGGAATTTTGGTCCCTCCGAGTCTGTGACGATCAGCAGGAGTCAGGCAGCTATGCAGCAGTTACAAGAATCGTTTGGGTCGTTCCTGCCGGGCATGGGCCAGAGTCCGGGCTTCCTCCCTCATGGTGCTACTGACATGCCAAGACCTCCACCCTACCCTCTGGAGGGGGTTCAAGGTAAGAAGTGGAAATTTATACTTCTGTCTTCTCTCTTTTCTCCCCCACTCCTCTCTCATTCTCATCTTACTTCATTTCTTGTATTTCATTCTCTCCTCTCGCTTTCATCTCTCTACATTCATGTTCTCTGATCTCTGCTCCTTTCCCCCATTCTCACCTTAATTTAAACTTTATATTTCCTTCTCTCCTCTTGCTAATATCTCACTCCTTTCATAATCTCTTCTCTTCCACTCCTCTCTCCCATTCTCACCTTACTTCAATTCTTATATTTCCTTCTCTCCCCTATTAGATCTCTCTCCTTTCCCTTCTCTTTCTCCCTGCTTTTCATCTCCTTTACTTTTGCCTCCTCTCTCTCAAAATTGTCTCCTCTTTCTGTATACTTATATGTCTCCTCTTTCTGTATACCTCTGTCTCCTCTGTCTGTATACCTCTGTCTCCTCTGTCTGTATACCTCTGTCTCCTCTGTCTGTATACTCCTGTCTCCTCTGTCTGTATACTCCTGTCTCCTGTCTCTGTGTGTGTTCTCCTGTCTCCTGTCTCTGTGTGTGTGTTCTCCTGTCTCCTGTCTCTGTGTGGTGTGTTCTCCTGTCTCCTGTGTCTGTGTGTGTGTTCTCCTGTCTCCTGTGTGTGTGTGTGTGTTCTCCTGTCTCCTGTGTGTGTGTGTGTGTTCTCCTGTCTCCTGTGTCTGTGTGTGTGTTCTCTCTGTCTCCTGTGTCTGTGTGTGTGTTCTCCTGTCTCCTGTGTGTGTGTGTGTTCTCCTGTCTTTTGTGTGTGTGTGTGTGTTCTCCTGTCTCCTGTGTCTGTGTGCGTGTTCTCCTGTCTCCTGTGTCTGTGTGTGTGTTCTCCTGTCTCCTGTGTCTGTGTGTGTGTTCTCCTGTCTCCTGTGTCTGTGTGTGTGTTCTCCTGTCTCCTGTGTGTGTGTGTGTGTTCTCCTGTCTCCTGTGTCTGTGTGTGTGTTCTCCTGTCTCCTGTGTCTGTGTGTGTGTTCTCCTGTGTCTGTGTGTGTGTTCTCCTGTCTTTGTGTGTGTGTGTGTGTTCTCCTGTCTCCTGTGTCTGTGTGTGTGTTCTCCTGTCTCCTGTGTCTGTGTGTGTGGTCTCCTGTCTCCTGTGTTCTGTGTGTGTGTTCTCTGTGTGTGTGTGTTTCTCCTGTCTCCTGTGTCTGTGTGTGTGTTTCGCTGTCTCCTGTGTGTGTGTGTGTGTTCTCTGTCTCCTGTGTGTGTGTGTGTGTTCTCCTGTCTCCTGTGTGTGTGGTGTGTGTTCTCTCTGTCTCCTGTGTGTGTGTGTGTGTTCTCCTGTCTCCTGTGTGTGTGTGTGTGTTCTCCTGTCTCCTGTGTGTGTGTGTGTGTTCTCCTGTCTCCTGTGTGTGTGTGTGTGTTCTCCTGTCTCCTGTGTCTGTGTGCTTGTTCTCCTGTCTCCTGTGTCTGTGTTCGTGTTCTCCTGTCTCCTGTGTCTGTGTGCGTGTTCTCCTGTCTCCTGTGTCTGTGTGTGTGTTCTCCTGTGTGTGTGTGCGTGTTCTGTCTCCTGTGTGTGTGTGTGTTCTCCTGTCTCCTGTGTCTGTGTGTGTGTTCTCCTGTCTCCTGTGTGTGTGTGTGTGTTCTCCTGTCTCCCTGTGTGTGTGTGTGTGTGTTCTCCTGTCCTCCTGTGTCTGTGTGCGTGTTCTCCTGTCTCCTGTGTGTGTGTGTGTGTTTCTCCTGTCTCCTGTGTGTGTGTGTGGTGTTCTCCTGTCTCCTGTGTGTGTGGTGTGTGTTCTCTGTGTCTCCTGTGTCTGTGTGTGTGTTCTCGCTGTCTGTGTGTGTTCTCCCTGTCTCCTGTCTGTGTGTGTGTTCTCCTGTCTCCTGTGTCTGTGTGTGTGTTCTCCTGTGTCTGTGTTCCCTGTTGTGTGTGTGTGTGTTCTCCTGTCTCCTGTGTGTGTGTGTGTGTGTTCTCCTGTCTCCTGTGTCTGTGTGTGTGTTCTCCTGTCTCCTGTGTCTGTGTGTGTGTTCTCCTGTCTCCTGTGTCTGTGTGTGTGTTCTCCTGTCTCCTGTGTCTGTGTGTGTGTTCTCCTGTCTCCTGTGTCTGTGTGTGTTCTCCTGTCTCCTGTGTCTGTGTGTGTGTTCTCCTGTCTC